GGGGGGGGGGGGGGGGGGGGGGGGGGGGGCTCTGGCCTATGCTACGACTTTCCCTTAAAATTCAATGTCTTCACCGGCCTATATGTACATGTATCACATCTATTTATGTTGCTTTGCTGTGGTAGTTTTTTGATGCCTCAAATCATGCCCTGTCTAGGACAAGTTGTGAGAGATCTTTTTTATACCGTCTCTCCTCATGTTTACTTCCCTTTTCTCGTCTAAGCACAAATATTATTCTGAGGAAGAATAAGAGGGCCGCGCTAATTAGCAGCAGCTATGTGCTCTACGTCCATCTTTCAGACAACTGTATGTACATGCTATCGTTGTATCTTGGTGCAATGATAATGAAGTTTATTCTGATTTTGATTCTGAACATGCAAACTCCACCCAGAAATGCCCCCCATTGGGATTTGGACTGGAATATCCTTCTCGCTGAGAGGCAGCAGCTCTACCAGCTGCACCACTGTGCTGCCCTGAGAGAAATTTCAAAGTTAAAATTTTATGTAATTTAAATTCAAAATGAAACTACAAGTGTACTTGTGGTATACCCAACATCACAAACATCTACACCTCGAAATGCAGGAAGAGGGCCACCTGCATCATGAAGGACCCCACTCACCCAACACACATACTTTTTGCCCCGCTCCCCTCAGGTAGGAGGTTGAGGAGCATTAACTGTAGAACCACTAGACTGAGGAACAGCTTCTACCCTGAAGCAGTTAGACTCATGAATGTCTAACCAGAAAAATCAGTGTGAAAAAAGACTATAATGCCAAATAAATTGGTGATGTGTGACTTATCTGTGCTGTTGATTATCTCAGGCTGCTGATTATCTCATGCTGCTGTATCCATTACACATCTGCTCACCATGGAGTCATGTTCAGGCTGCTGTTGTTATGCTGTATTGTGTTACATTATTAGTGTTTAGTGTATATCTTAGATCCTTGTATACTGTTTCTTTTTTTCCTTTTTTATAGTTTTGTTATTGTTGGGTTATTTGGGACCCTAAGTACATAATTTCGTTCCACCTCATGTACCACATGTGTTGCAAATGACAATAAATTTGACTTGAATTTGAACATGAAGTGTACATTTTGATTTATAAACTGTAGAAGTGTAAAGTTTGAGGGACTAAAAAGTTCCTTTAAAAAAGACTTTTGTAAAGTTTAAACATCATAAAAGTTGAACATTCTGTG